AGTGGCCAGATTTTGTTCATTTTCATGGTTTCCTCCACATGCTTGTGGATTTCAGTGGCTTCTCTGTGCAGTCTGACATGGTGGTTGTGAGAGTGGTCCAGCATTTCTGTCTTCTCCAATAATATGCTGTGTCCAGGTTGGCTCATCAAGTGCTCTGCTATGGCTGATTTCTCTGATTGAGTCAGTCTGCAGTTCTTTCATGTTCCTTGATGCGTGTCCAGGCAGTGCTATGTTTGGTGGTCCCTATGTAGACTTGTCCACATACAGTAGACTCCTGCAGAGGTGAGATGATCCCTCTTGTCCTTTGCTGAATGTTTTGGATTTTCTTAACGGGTCTCTAAATAGTTTGTATGTTGTGTTCCTTCATCAGCTTCCCTATGTGGTCAGTGGTTCCCTTGATGTATGGCAAGAACACCTTTCTCTCTGGGTGGATCTTTGTCTTGACTCTCGTGGCTGCTTCTTGGCCTTGCAGCTCTTCTGATGTCTGTGGTGGAGTCTCCATTGGCCTGGAGTGCCCAGTTGAGGTGCTTCAGTCCACCTTGGAGGAGGTGGGCTTCCCAGATTCTTTTTGCGTAGTAAATAAAGAGCAACAGTATGGCTTGTTCTTGGCCTTGCAGCTCTTCTGATGTCTCTGGTGGAGTCTCCATTGGCCTGGAGTGCCCAGTTGAGGTGCTTCAGTCCACCTTGGAGGAGGTGGGCTTCCCAGATTCTTTTTGCGCAGTAAATAAAGAGCAACACTATGGCTTGTTCTTGGCCTTGTAGGTCTTCTGATGTCTGTGGTGGAGTCTCCATTGGCCTGGAGTGCCCAGTTGAGGTGCTTCAGTCCACCTTGGAGGAGGTGGGCTTCCCAGATTCTTTTTGCGTAGTAAATAAAGAGCAACACTATGGCTTGTTCTTGGCCTTGCAGCTCTTCTGATGTCTCTGGTGGAGTCTCCATTGTAGAACCCAGTTGAGGTAGTTCTGTTCACCTGTATACCATTCAGCTGTGGACAAGTCTGCATAGGGATCTTTGTCTTCGTTTCATCCACATGGCAAGACTGAACGATTGCTTCATATTTTATGAGTACTTTTTTCTTCTCGTTGACTTCTACTTGAGTCAGGAATGTAACTGGCTGCTTAACAGAGTAATCAGACTACCCTTGTGTAGTAGAAACAGTTGTATATCTTGATGACCCTGTTGTCTAAGCCGAGCTTTTGGAATGATTTTCCCTGTCAGTAAGACAGCATAGGGTTGTTGTGTGTGTTTGCATGCTGTATGGCCATTTTCCAGAAGCATTCTCTCCTGACGTTTTGCCTGCATCTATGGCAGGCATCCTCAGAGGTTGTAAGGTCCTCACAACCTCTGAGAATGCCTGCTATAGATGCAGGCAAAACGTCAGGAGAGAATGCTTCTGGAAAATGGCCATACAGTATGCAAACACACACAACAACCCAGTGATTCTGGCCATGAAAGTCTTCAGCAATACATTGACCTGATATATTTTTCTCAAATTGAAAAAATCACATTGATTCTTTAAAATTATTTACATTGTGGGTAGTTAGAGGGCTTTTCTTTTTCAATGTGTCCGACATTTATTTATTTATGACATTTATATTCCGCCCTTCTCACCCCGAAGGGGACTCAGAGCGGCTTACAAGATATATAAACATACAATATAATTTATTATATTATTAGCATAGTACAATATCAGTATTAAATATTACTATGCTGTATTATACCATTATATTATAATGTTATTAGTAATATTACATGTAATATAAATATATAATTATAATCTATTATTATTATTATTACAGTGCATTACATTCTAATATTATAAATATTATATTAGCATAGTACAGTATCAGTATTAAATATTACTATATTGTATTATACCATTATATTATGTTATTAGTAATATTACATTTAATATAAATCTATAATTATAATCTATTATTATTATAGTGCATTACATTATAATATTATAAATATTATAGGTCTATACAATATATTATATTATTAACATCTCCTTTTGTAGTTTCCTAACTGTTGACAGTTGACTGCAAGTTAATTAATGTGTCAACCCCAGATATCCTGGCTCCAGGCTGACATCCCTTTCCTCCTTCCCTCCTGCATCTAATCTCTCCCCTCTGCTGTCTTTCCTGTAGCTTACAGGGAGCGTCGCCCTGCCCCTTGGTGACGACAAACCAGGAAGTCCATGTTTGCTCTGGGTGATGTGGCACCTCTGCTGCTGTTGCTGCTGCGATCCTTTGAACCACAACCGAAGGAATGTGCGCTTCCCAATCCCGCCCTTATAAACCAAAACAGGCAAAGGGCCCCGTTTGATCTCTCCTCGTCCTCTATGAAGTGTTTGCATTGACATTTTGTAATGGTGAGAGAGAAAAGCCAGGGAACGGATTCAGCCCATGACCAAAAGCGAATCCTTTATTCGAAGCAGGAGGCAGCTTGTGATCTCTCAGACAGACCTCGTTACTCTATGTCATCGCCCAGTAGGCCTGGGTAACAACGCAAAAATTTGTTTCTAAAATCGATTTGCATTTGGGGTTTTTTTTTGTTTCGATATTTAAAATAATTACAAAATTTTCCTTTTAAAAAGTTCGATATTTACGAAATTTCGTAAATGGTAAAAAATTAACAAATCGATTTCCGAAACAATAATGAATCGATTCGTTAATGGCGGACGCGACCGCGAAATACGCTAAAAAACCTCCAAAAACTTCTGAAGCTTCCCTCTCCCTCTGTTCTTGACTGTTGGTGTGATATTATAATTTTTTTTCACTAATTAAACCATAAAACTGGCCCAGACATGCGGAAATAATAACGAAACGATCTCGGAACAATAACGAAACGAATACAATAACGAAATACGAAGCATTTACAAAACGTATTTAAAAATTCGTTTTTTTTAATAATTGCTCCAGAATGGTTCGTTATCGTTTTGTAAATGGAAAAATTAACGAATTATTAACGAATTACGAATTAACGAAACGAAACCGCCCAGGCCTATCGCCCAGCATTCAAATACACCTTCTAATCTCTACTAGAACACTCTGGTTGAATCAACTGGACTCTTTCAGTTAATAATTATATAATCTTATTATTATTATTATTATTTAATTACTAGAAGGAATGAAAGAAGGAGGGAGGGACAGGAGGGAAGGAAAAAGGAAGGGAGGGAGGGAGGGAAAAAAGGAGGAGGGACAGGAAGGGAGGGAGGAGAAGGAAGAAAGGAGGGAAAGAAAGGAGGGGGATGAAGAAAGGAGGGAGGGAAGGAAAGGAAGAAGAAAGGGGGGGACAGGAAGGAGGGAAAGAAGGAAAGGAAGGAAGGGGAGGAAAGAAGGGAAGGGAGGGAGAGAAGGAAGGTCCTTCATTCAAGCACCGTGGACCTTCCTCCTCCCCTCCCTTCTTCCTTGCATGGATGCTCCGTTGCTGCTGCCGTTGCTGCTGCTTTCCCAACAGGGAAAGGAGGAGGAGACTGCTCTCCTGACATAGGAGGGAAAGAGAAGGGGCTGCATGCGGCGCGTCTCCACCTCCACTCCACTCGTGTGTGTGTGTGTGTGGCCGTGCACGTGCACCTGGCTTTCACGGCTGGCTGTTTCCCCGCGAGGAGGGGCGGGGGTGTGTGGCCATGGGTCTCGGTAGACATGCAGTTTCTCCTTTGTGGACATGCAGTTTAGAAGTCCTTTCTGCTTTTGGCTTTTGGCTTTCCTTGTTTTTTTGAGTGGAGAACATACATTGGGTTGTTAGGGACATAGTGTCCAAATTTGGTGTCAATTGCCCCAGTGGTTTCTGAGTTCTGTGAATAGCACAAACGGACATTACATTTTTATTTATATAGATGGTCACTTGTTGGCCTGAGAGGTGTCTTCTGTCCAAATTTGGTGTCCATTCGTCCAGTGGTTTTGGAGTTATGTTAATCCCACAAACGAACACTACATTTTTATTCATATAGATCAGGGGTCCACAAACTTTTTCAACCGAGGGCCAGGTCACAGTCCCTCAAACTGTTGGAGGGCCGGATTATAATTTGAAAAAAAAAACCATGAATGAATTCCTATGCACATTGCACATATCTTATTTGTAGTGCAAAAACCACTTAAAAACAGTACAATAATTAAAATGAAGAACAATTTTAACAAATATAAATTTATTAGTATTTCAGTGGGAAGTGTGGGCCTGTTTTTGGCTGATGAGATAGGGTTGTTGTTGTTGTTGTTGACCCTAAGCGAGGGCCGGATAAATGACCTTGGAGGGCCACATTCGGCCCCCGGGCCTTAGTTTGAGGACCCCTGATATAGATATATTAGCCATCCCCTGCCACACATTGCTGTGGCTAAATTTGTGTATATGTGTTTTGTGTGTATATATATTTGTGTATATGTGTATATATGTGGTTTTGCGCATGTGTTGTAATGCATTTTTTTTTGGCTTTTAAAGTTCCTTCTGCTGTGTTTTCCAGTGTTTTTATGAGTGATGGTCACTCGTTGGCCTGAGAGGTGCCTTGTGTCCAAATTTGGTGTCCATTCGTCCAGTGGTTTTGGAGTTCTGTTCATCCCACAAACGAACATTACATTTTTATTTATATAGATACTAGCTTGGGTACCTGGTATTGCCCGGGTTATTTGAAAATGCCCAATTTTTAATTGTACAAAATGCATAAGGTTGTGGGTGAACTACAATTCCCATCTTGCCAGGTTAACTCCTGAAACTCCATTAGTACTCAAAGGTTGTTCTGTTGGTGAAGTTTGCGGTGGGATTCAGGGTGCTCTCTGTCTGTAGGGCAAACTCCAACTCCCAGAAAGGAAGGCCAGTTTCCCCAAACCTCTCCAGTAATCCAATTTTGGCATTACTTTGGCATTACCGTGCTTGGGGTCACAGTGCTCTGCTGCAGATAAAAAACATGAGAAAATGCATCCCTGTGAATATTTGATTCATTCTCTGAAATTTAAATGGGTGGAAGTGAATGTGTTTATTAATGCTGTTGCTTTTGTTTCTACAGCCAAAAAAAATGTCTGAAGGAGACAGTACTGGTGATTCCATCCATGGCAAACCTTCAGTGGTCTATAGGTTTTTCACAAGACTCGGGCAGGTAGGTTCCACACATAATTCTTTTTGTGGTGCATATTCCTGACGTTTTGCAAAAGACAGGTGGTCATTTTGTCAGCGCTGATTGTGTTTTAGTGCAGGCCAAGGTCTTGAGGCACTGCACCCAGTGTGCCGATCACCACTGGGACCCCCTTGACTGGCTTGTGCCAGAGTCTTTGCAGTTCGATCTTTAAATCCTCCTATTGTGTCAGCTTTTCCAGTTGTTTCTCTGCAATCCTGCTGTCGCCTGGGATTGCAACATCGACGATCCATACTTTGGTTTTTAACACGATTGTGAGGTCAGGAGACTTGTGCTTCAAAACTCTGTCTGTCTGAATCTGGAAGTCCCAGAGGAGTTTGGCGTGTTCATTCTATGTAACTTTTTCCGGCTTGTGATCCCACCAGTTCTTTGTCACAGGCAGATGGTCTTTGTGGCCCAAGTTCCAATGAATCATCTGAGCAAGGGTGTTGTGCCTCTGCTTGGAGTCTGTCTGTGCGACCTTCTTGCAGCAGCTGAGGATGGGATCTGTTGTTGCCATCTGCTTCCTTGCAGAGTCTACACTTGGGATCTGTTGTCGACTTTTCATTATTATTATTATTATTATTATTATTATTATTATTATTTGAAGTACAAAAAGATGAGTCCACAGCAAACAAGATCACATTATTTATATTATTATAATATTATTATTTAATAATAGCTTGATATTCTATATTAGTTTGTTTATATTATTATTATTATTATTTGAAACACAATAAGATGAGTGCACAGCAAACAAGATCACATTATTTATATTATTATTTAATAATAGTTTGATATTATATTATATTAGTTTGTATTATTATTAGTATTTTAATTATTATTATTATTATTATTATTATTTGAAAAACAACATGATGGGTCCACAGCAAACAAGATTACATTATTATTATTATTATTATTAAATAATAATAGTTTGATATTATATTCTTATATTATTAGTTTGTTTATATTATTATTATTAAATAATAGTTTGATATTATATTCTTATATTATTAGTTTGTTTATATTGTTGTTGTTGTTGTTGTTGTTGT